ACACACACACACACACACACACTCAAAGAACAGCACACTACAAAGGCACAGAGAGGCTGAGAGAGCAGACTGTGTTGGGGAAATGTTGATGAGGACATTAGAGGAAGTGTGTGTGTGTGTGTGTGTGTGTGTGCTCTCTCATGATTCTGTATCTCTCAGTCTCACTATAAGAGTGTAATTAGAGTGAAAGGACAGTCTGATCTCTGACTCACAGGCTCTTTACAGCATCAACGATCAATTAAACAGAGTCTCTCGTATCAGAGTTTATTACAGTAAAACACTCAGCATATGTAGCAGTTCACAGCCTCACAGTGTGCTGAGCAAAGACTTATGAGTAAACAAAACTATTAATGTGTCATCGATTCCTTTCTCTTTCTTTCTTTCTTTCTTTCTTTTTAAATCAACATCAAGATTTTAGATGTTAAGGGCGCATTAAATTGATCAAAAGTGCCAGTAAAGACATTTATAATGTTACAGAAGATTTCTATTTCAAATAAATGCTGTTCTTCTGAACTTTCTGTTCATCTGTGAAGCCTGAAAAATAAAATGCATCACAGTTTCCACAAAAATATTGTGCGGCACGACTGTTTTCAGCATTGATGATAATCAGAAATGTTTCTTGAGTAGCAGATCAGCATATTATACTGATTTCTGAAGATCATGAGACACTGAAGACTGGAGGAATGATGCTGAAAATACAGCTGCACATCACAGAAATACTTTACAGTTTAACAGAGATTCACATAGAATATAAAAATATTTCACTATTTTACTGTATTTTTGATCAAATAATGTCAGCCCTGATGAGCAGACGAGACTTCTGTCAAAAACATCTTACCAACCACAAACTTTTATATATAATTTGTCTAAATATAATTTGTCACTTGGTTTGATATTTTATCATATCCTGTGAAGGCACAGAAAACCACGGCAATACATCTTCACCATTTTCATCTGATGACATTTACATGGCAGGAAAAATAACACAGTACTATCATTTGTCCAGTAAAATCATGGCTGTATCACAGTACATGATCACAAAGCAGTAACATGGTACTGTTGTAATGTCAGCTAAGCTTATGTAAGCACATTCACTCAATCAAACGACATCAGGTTATGCTGCATACATATGTATAACCAGAATGCAACGAATGCATGACAATGAGCATTAAAAATATTCAAATTAATAAAACAGCATGTGCTTGAATATAAGCAGGGATAATTAGCATTATGATTACGCAATAATGCTGAAGCAGCTCTGATGTGTGTGTGTGAGTGTGTGCGTGTGTGTGCGTGCGTGTGCGTGTGCGTGCGTGTGTGTGTGTGTGTGTGTGTGTGTGTGTGCGTGGGTGTGTGGGTGTGTGTGTGTGTGAGTGTGTGTGTGTGTGTGTGTGTGTG